AGAGCTGAAGGAAAAGAGCCAGTAATACAGAATCTTAGATAAAGAAAAAAGAGGACTAAAGTCTGACCCTAAAGAACGACTAGAGGGATTTCTCTAAACAGAAAACAGAAGGAACATTCTAAAGCCAGGTAGAAAGAATGCTGAAATACAGAATGGCAGTAACTCTTCTACTTCAGTGTTGGACGTGGCCTTAACAGCGCGCAGAAGAAATATATAAGACAATGTAAGTAGGAAAGGGTGGGCTCCTGGGGCCCATAGGTTGGAGAGAACCGACTCCTACAAGCTGTCCTCTGACCTTTATGAGCACCCTAACCCAATTATAATAAATAAGAAAGGGTAAAGGGACAAAAAGAGATCTTTATACTTCATTTGAGTTGGGAAAACATGTTACTGCTGACTGTGATGCTACCTATGTAACAAAATACCAATAAGGCTACAAAATCAACATGTAGTTTTAGGCTACATATGGATGTTTCAGCGAAAATGGCCTGTATCTCGGACAGTGTGCAAATAAAATTGTATTACTTAGCAACAACTTTGTCATGTGTAATGCTTTGTGCTATGTGTACTCATTCAATGACACATTTCTCACAACACATCCCTGTTATTAAATGTTGCTTCTTTAAAGATAAGTTAAAAAAATGGGATAATAAAAAATGTTCAAGCAGTGGTGGCACATGCCTTTAATCCCAGCACTCGGGAGGCAGAGCCAGGTGGATCTCTGAGTTTGAGGCCAGCCTGGGATACAGAGTGAGTTCCAGGACAGGCACCAAAGCTACACAGAGAAACCTTGTCTCGAAAAACAAAACAAATCAAACAAAAAGAGGCAAAAAAAATGTTCAAGAGGAAGGCAACAACAACAACAAAACAATAAAAAAAGACAAAACAAGTAATAATAGGCCCAAGATATATGTATAATCACACTAGATAGAAATGGTACAAATACATCAACTAAAATAGAAACACTGAGAAACAGTACATTAAAAACATTTAACATTAACAAAAGGTTATCCATAGGACACTCATTTCAAGTATAAGGGCAAGTTGGAAGTAAAATAGTGGTAACTTTATATCAACTTTAATCAAACATTGGCCAAAATATTTATATTAATTTGTGTATTTATTTATGTTAATTTATTTAGGTATTTATGTTAATATCAGATGATATACACCTAGGGACAAATAAAATTATGCAAGTCAAAGAGCAACACTACACAATAAACAAAGCCAAGTCACCAAGAACATATATTGCTAAGTATCCATGTACCAAACAACAGAACTGCAGTGTGCGGGCAGCAAAGTGGTAGGGAAACTGTGAAAGGCCATGGGTTTAATTCTAAGCACTACAGAAAACAAAACTAACAAAACCAAACCAAAAGAAATAAAAGAAGAGCAAAATGTGCAACAAAACTGACAAACCTGAAAGGAGAAATACATAAATCCACACCATTTTTTTTTTTTTAAATTTTGGGTGGGGGTGTTTGAGGCAGGGTTTCTCTGTGTAACAGCCCTAGAAGAACTGATGAAAAAACTAAATAGCAAATTAACAAATACATAGAAGACCTTTTGAACACATATATTTCATCAGAATAACATAGGTTCTTTTCAAGTGCCCATGGAACATATACTAAGATAAATCCTACCTTTATAAATTTAAAATAATTAAAAAAACACGATTTCCTCTTGGATCAGAGTGGAATCAAATTAGAAATGAATAAGCAAAAAAGTAACGCTCTTCCAGAAGACTCAGGGTTCAGGTTCCAGCACCCACAGAGTGGCTCACAACTATCTGCAACTTTAGTTTCAAGGGATCTGATGCCCTCTTTTGGCCTGTGTGGGCTCCAGGCATGCATGTATTACACATAAATACATGTGTAATATAAATATATACACACAACATAAACATGAATAAGTAAATCTTAAAAAAATAAAAAAAGAACTGGTAATGATTCAAGACAATTTCTATTGGGAAACAGAAGAAAGAAGGGAGGAAAACCCATTTCATAAAGCTTATGTGTATCTAGTCTTCCAACAGACTAGACAAAGATCATCCATAAATGTTCCATGGGCGCTGTGTGAAAAGTTCTTACTAAAACACTGTTAAGGGACTGGAGAGACGGGTCAATGGTTAAAGCATGTGCACAAGCGTGAAGAAACAGTGTGTAAGTGGCTGCCTATAATTCCAGCCTCAAAAGAGGGGATCCCTAGAGCAAAATGGTTAGTGAGACTAGCCAGATTGGTGAGGTCTGACTTTGACTGAAGAGACCCTGAGTATGGGAGAAGAGCAATTAAGAATAATTCTGGCTGGATGGTGGTAGCTTACTCCTTTAATCCTAGCATTCAGGAGGTACAGGCAGGCAGATCTCTTAAGTTTGAGGCCAGCCTGGACTACAGAGTGAGTTCCAGGACAGCCAGGATTACACAGAGAAACCTTGTCTCAAAAAACCAAGAGAATGATTCTGGACATCAACCTCAGGGCTCCACATACATACACACCCCTCCACACATGAAAAACATACACACATGCACACACACAATGTAAAAAAGAAAAAAATTATCAAATAGAATTCAGTAATACATAAAAGAATTACATACTGTGATCAGAGCTCATGCTAGTGCTGTAAGGTTGATTCATTATTTGTCAACTAATCATGGTAATTCCCCTTATTGATAGGCCAAATAAGAAAAACAACAACAACAACAACAACAACAACAAAAAACTCCACCAAACATTTTTATCTATCAGTAAAAATAGCATATGATAAAATTAAACATCATTTATGATAAAAACTCAGGAATCAGGATTATGGAAATACCCTTCATTTTTGATAAAGAGATCTATACAATAATCTACAATCAGCGTAGTTATTTTTTTAAAATTAGAATTAAAAATATTTACTTATGCCAGATGGTGGTGGTGCACGCCTTTAATCTCAGCACTTGGGAGCAGAGGCAGGAGGATCTCTGAGTTCGAGACCAGTTGGGCCTATAAAGAGACTTTTGGGACAGCCAGGGCTACACAGTGAAACCCTGTTTCAACACACACACACACACACACACACACACACACACGCACACGCACACGCACACGCACACGCACACGCACACGCACACGCACAAAAGTAATTTGATAGAAGGAAAGAGTATTTCAAACACTTCTGGAGCAATGGGATGTGAACAGGTTAAAGAAGAATCTTGACCTAATTCTCATCATTGAAATTAGAATTAACTGAAAATGGATTACAGACTTTTATGTAAAACTATAAAATGTGGGGGAGGGAAGGCGAAGAAGACTTTCTAGGCTGTCTGGTAGCAAGAGCTCTTAGACCTGGTACCATAAACACAACTCACAAAAACAAAAGTGAAAACTGATTTCTTCAAATTAAAATTTCTTGCCATGTTAAAAATAACATAGAAAAAATAAAATGACAAAATACCAGATGAGAGAAAATATCTACAAACCACCTGTCTGATAAAAGACAAGTATCTGGAATTTATCATCAACTCTAAAACAGAGCAATGAAAGTGGAACACAAGCAAAGGACATGAAAGAACATTTTACTGAACAAAGCACCAAGACGTAGTTAGCATCACTAGCCATTAGGGAAATGCACAAGGGCATTATTACTACACAAGTATCAGAATGGATCCATAAAACAACAACAACATCAGCTGTAGGATGTAAAAAGCAGGTCACTTATTTACTGCCAGTAGGGGCAAAAAAACGGTACAGCTATTCTGAAAAAAACGTGGCAGCTTCTTAAACCAACAAATGTACATTCTATAAACAATGTCATATCCATGTTATAGAATAACATTCAGCAACCACCCCTGCCCCCAACCAAAAACAAAAAAAGACTTAACTATGGTTGGAAAAGACAATAAACTAGATAAGTTTTCAGATTATAACAAATGATATAAGAGCTAACTGTCAAAGGTTCATACTACATGATTCCATTTATAGACCCTCCTTAAAATGACGGTTATGAAAATGATCAATAATGGTTGCCAGGGACTGAAATGTGGTGGAAGGGGAAGACAAATAATTATGAGATGGTGACAAGACTTTTGAAGTGACAGAAATGCTCTGTACCTTGGATCTATCAATGTCACCACCCTGAATATTAAAATAAACATGGTCTTACAAGATATTACTATGGGGATACTGGATACAGGGCACACAGGGTTTCTCTGTACTGTATTTTACAACTATATATTAAATTTGCAGCTATCTGAAAAACATTTTAGAATACAATACAGATGCAGTCAAGTCTGTGTGGCTGGGATTTCTGTAATCCAGCCCTGGGGGGATACAAGGCAGTGCAGCAGTGCAATCCAACTCCCCAGACCATGAGGTACTCCTCTCTTTCAGCATGAAAGAGCATGCAGCACCAGGACAGCAAATCTGACTCACCGTTTGCTTCTGGAGACCATCTAACTTGTCCTCAGCACTGTCTTCTTTGTCTATGTTGCCTCTAAATAAAAGTAATTATATACCACTTAGGAGTTACGTTACTATCAGGATGCTTGTAAGAAAGCCCTCCAAATCACTGCTAAAGGGAAGGTTAGTAGATATTCTCATAGGCACTCTTTCTTTTCAGAGAACCTTAGAGACACTAAGAACAAGTAAGAAACAACTACCACCAAAGAATGTTATCATGTAGGTGAGCAAGGACTTCCATTCAAATGAGGGTGAAGCCTTGTGACCTACCAGGCACACTCTGAGGCTGACTGTTCAACAATGATACTATCACTGAAAAAGTAATTACAGCCCATCAAGAACTGTCTGTACATACATCTCTGAGAAAGAGAAGACTCTAGTCCAGACCAACAGTTATGCCAATAGAGTGCCCACCCCTAAGCACAGTGGGGTGACCACTCCCACAAGGCACTTTCTGGGAAGACAACTCTCTGTACTGCTGATAGGGAAGGGCAGTTGGTCTTTTCTGATGTCACACTTGTGACTCAGTCAGTGGCTTCATGTCTCCTGTGAGCCTCACTACTGCTGACGTCTGCTTTCATGATCAAGGCTTGAACTGGAGAGCAGTCAGCTGCTCTGCTCCTCCTTAGGTGCTTCCCTAGAGTCACCAAATAGAACAGCTCTGAGCTACACACAGGTACCTCACTTTGTGTATCTATAAGTTTAAGCTGTTACTTTCATTTTCCTGAGAACTTACACATTTGGAGATTATGCCAACAATAAATCAGTCAGCCAAAGAGAATGCTTCTATATTTTGTATATAACCCTTCACTATGTTGAATGGCCACAACTTCTAACAGTGGCTTCTGAGTCTGCCTAACCAGGGGTTATATGATCCTTGAATAATACCGGCAGTCAGCTGAGGAACTTTATGATCAGGAAGTCTGTACTTGTTGTGCCTGCATAGTTTTTTGCCAGCTAGAAAAAAATATGAGTTCTTCCCTGGAAGCCCTCTGGCCAGACATGAGAAGACTGGTTAACAAACCAGGCAGGATAATCATCCTGGGGAATCCATGAAGGACGGGAATTAGAATTTGGTTCAAAGCACAAGCATAAGGCATAGTAGGATGAACCAAAAGAAGAAATTTGAAGGACATGGTCACAGTACAACAAGGCTTAAGAGAGATGTCAGACAGGGAGGGAAACTTGTGGAGGTTTGAATGAGAAATGTGCCGTACAAGCTCATGCCTCTGGACACTTGCTCTCCACTTTGGGAAGCTTAGGAAACTTAAAAGGTAGAGCCTTGCTGCGGAGGAAGTACATAACCGGGGATAAGCTCCATTTCCTATACCCATGAAATGGGATCAACCAGCTTCCTGCTCCTGCTGCTGTGTCTTCCCCCTCATTATGGACTCTCTCTCTCTGGAATATTCAGATAAAATGAACTATTCTGTAATGCTCTTGGTCATGTATCTCATCACAGCAACAGAAAAGTAATGAATACATAAAGATACAGAGTCCTGGATATACGTGGCATAGGTCACAAGCTGGTGACAGGGCATGTGACAATGGAGTAGTCTATGTGGTGTCTCACCTTTCAGGAATGTCTGAGGTTCCATCTGTAACACCCTGCTCTGCAGACAGGGACTTCTCATCAGGCATCCCGACTTTCTCTAGGAAGCAGAGTGCTGGATCAGCCCGCATGGCATTGTACCTCTCATAACCTAAGCAGGCAATGAGAAGTGTGAGCAGTCAGGTCAGAACCCACCAGCTGTGCCCCAGCCTAAGACATTCATTTTTGTCTCCTTTATTCAGTAAAAACCAAGACAAAACAAACTTAACAATGTTTATTTAGGATTAATGCTAGCTTATGAGACCTCCTAACTGGGGAAGATTCTGGAGCTACTGCAGACTTCTGAGCAGTTTCTTACTACAGCTGAAGCTTGTGTAAACAACGCGTCTGTACACAGATGTAGGGAAGGTCTGTTCTCACTGGTTTGCTGCTCTGTACAGCAAAGGGAAGCAGTTGAGTTACTTTACAACCTCTCCCTCCTATTCCTCAACCCTGCCACCCTGTTATGTTCTAAATGGTCTTATTTTCACATAGGCCAACTCTATCCCACAAGGTAGAAAAGGAAGCTGAACAAAATGATGGATGTAAGTGCTGAATTATGAACTGGACCATGATGACTGTTTAACTGGGTTAACAGACCTGGGTCCAGTGTTAGTACAACAAAATCCTACACACTTGCCAGGGCTTTGGAATTGCTCCTCATCATATACTTAAAGTAAACAAAAGGAGTATTTTAACCCAGAAGATGAACTTTAATGGCAAAACAATGAAAGAAAATGCTTTATGTATTTACATGTGGAGGCTAGAAGTTGATGTCCAGTGTCTTCCTCTATTGTTCTCCCTGTCGTTAGAGACAGGGTCTCACTGAACCCGGAGCTCACCGACTAGCTAGGGTGACCAGAGAGCTCAGGTCACTCTCCTCAACCCCCAGTGCCAAGGCTTCAGGTGCGTGCCACCATGCTGGGCTTTTCTATGGGTGCTGGGAATCCAAAATTATGTCCCTGTGCTTGCATGCCAATAAGCCACCTCTTCAGCCCCCCAAAATTGTACTTTTTAAGAAAACCCAAGCAGGAGGATGTGTGGTATTTTATTGAATCTAACAATCTTTTTTTGGGGGCAAGGGAGAGGGCTGTGGGGTTCTTCTGAAGGTGGTATATAATAAAATGTAATCTTTATAATAAGACAAGGCTTGTCCAAGTTAAGACCTAAATCTACTGTCATAGCAAACTATTTTGGGAGACACTCTTACAGGAAAGGGAAAACTTGGAATGTTTCTCCTCACAGACAACGTCAGTCAGTGGTTCTGTAGCATGTACTGAGACCCTGTGGTAGGTACTGGAAATGCTAATGAGAACCAGCTTAGTTGTAAGAAGAGACTCAGCTTTGTCAGACGGGGCACTCTGCCCCGGTTTTGGGATGCACTGTATCCTTCACTAGCGTGCAGCACTTAGTACTTCCCTCTAAGGAACTATAGGAATTTGATCTTTTCTTTCTTTTTTTTCTTCATTTTGTAAAACTTTATCTTTTTACTTTTAATTTTGTGTTTGTATATCTGGAGCTGGAGTCAAAGGCAATTGTGAGGTGTCCATACAATGTAGGTGCTGGGAGCTGAACTTAGGTCTTCTGGAAGGGCAGCCCACATTTTAACTGATGAGCCACCTCTCCAGGCCCAAAGTACTTGATTGTTTGACATCTTGGACAGGAGCTGCTCTCATACTGTCACTGAAGCACACGCCGTGAGAAACTGCACTGCTTTCTGCTTTTGGTTGTTTATTTTATCATTTATTCTTTACAATGGTGATCTGACCACTGCAAGTTTCTCTGAGGAGTCTTAGGGTTTTCTAGAAATAGAATCTTGGTCTTCCTCATCATTCTGAGTTTTGTATCTAGTACAGGGCCTGACACAATACTCACTCAATAAGCAACAAGACTAGATGAACTCTTTTTTTTAGATCCTTTTTCTTCCAATTACTAGAGAAGGAAGAATAATTATTTTGCTCTATCTCTGTTGAAGCTTACATCAAAACTAAACTTTCCCCAATATGTCTGTCTTAAAGAGATTCCTGCCATGGTCTGATTCCATGAAGAGGTGATTTATCAGACAGTGATATGGTGAGAACCTTCCTTTATTGTAGCATTACCGTTGAGGGAGGTTAACTGTCCACAAGCATTCTGCTTCCCTGATCTCTGCATAACATGATGGCAATGAGACAGGCTAGGGTCTTCTGTGTGCCCACCTGGATAAGTTTCTACACTGTGTATCTGGTCTTGTTATGTGTGAGTCTGACACCTAAAGCTGGGCTCTGTATTTCTTTCCTCATTAGCTACAAGGCTGAGAAGACTGATGCAGTTTCCTAGAAACCCTAACAGTGATTCTGGAAGAGAAACTGGAGTGGCAATGGCCAAAAAGACCTGCACAGCCACCTGATAGTTCGTGAGAAGGTGGAGGCTGCCTACTGCATTGCCAGTAAGTTTCTAAGAAAATGTTTGGAAACACCAAATCCTCATCTTGAGAAAGACTTCAGGTATCCAGGAGGTCTCAAAGGGGCAGTTATCATTTAGGGCCTATGAAAACTATTGGGAACATTATACAGACGAGGCTTACCACAGGGAGTTCTGACTGCAGACTGGAGTCCAACTGAAGACTCAGCCTATTCTACTAGAGATGCTCTAAGACAGAACCTTCTCACCTAACTATGGCTACACAGCAGGTTGTCTGGAGACATACCCACAAAACCTTAGGAGATGAAAAATTACAGCACTACAATGCATACTCACCTAAGGCATGAAGGAAAGGTGTGTACATTTTTAGGTACATGATTTGGGGAAAGCAAACTATCTGTAATAATTACCAGTCAATGGAAAGTAAGAGCAGACTCTTAGGTGGTGTTTTACAAGTGAGGATGGGTTCTTGTTACCATTTTTCCAAGCTATTAAAAACATGTTAGTTCCCTTTAACTTCCTGGTTAATGGAAAGAATTAAAGATTGCTGAGCACATCTTTACACCAAGATAGTAGTCACACACTATAAATAAAGAGTTCTTTAAATCCTCTTAGCATTCTGCACAATGATGATCTAAAACACAGCACTTGTCCTCATTCCCTAATTTCTCTACTCATGTAACAGGGACACCTACTATGTGCTACACACTAGGGCAGACACAGGATCATTAAGAACAAAGAGGAGTCTAGAAAGAAAACTCAGCCGGTTCTGTGATTTGAATATGAAACACTCTCCATGGGTTCCTGTTTGAACACTTGGGTCTCTAGCTGGTGGTACCATTTGAGGTTACAGAACCTTTAGGAGGCATAGCCTTGCTGAAGGAAGTATGTCATTAGGAGTGGGCTTTGATGTTTTATAGCCTAGGCCTCTACTTCCTGCTCTCTGTTTTTGCTTCCAATGTATCGATGAAATGTGATCGTTCTGCTTCCTGACTGCCAGTCCAGCCTCACACTCCTGCTGTTATGACCTACCTACCAAGACGGACTGTATTCCCCAAAAATCTGTAAGCCTTTCTCCCAAGCTACTTTTTGTCAGGGTATTCTATTATTAGAGCAACAAAAAGTAACTAATACAGTTGGAAAGAGTGCTTGTTGTAAGGGCACAAGGATATGCATTTGGATCTCTGACATCCATGTGAAAAAACAAACATGGCTATATATGTATGCACCTATAACCTTAGTGCTGGGGTGGTGGGAAGAAAGGAAGGTTCCCGGGGCTTGCTGGCTACCATCTAGATGAGATGTAAAAGTCTAGTGAGAGAAACTGTCTCAAGAGAATAGGTGTAGAGTGACAGAGAAGACACCCAACAACTTCCTCTGGCTTTGACATGTATCCAAGTGTGCATAACTGCACCCTTCACACTCAAATGAAAGGGATGGATGTAGTCCCACCTTAGGTACAAACAGCCAAGTGAAGAGGATAAAATCAGGTATATTCTTCGTGACTACAGCTAACCTTTAGAAGTTTCTCAGTAATATATTCACAATACTGTTATGAGTCACACATTCATTGGATCAAGACTCCAGGTGGGCAGCTGTAAGGTTCAGTTTTCTAAGAATTATAGGACAGAATTGTTAGGAGTTTGGAGGAATAGGTATAGCCTAGTCAAGATTGCTTGAATCAGCTTTCTGGGTAACTGATCTAGAAGGGGTCAATTTTCTAAAACATACCATGCTTGAACACACCAATGAGAAGGGACTTATCAGCTTCAGCATCCCACCAATCCACTGGGATCTCCACATAGTCAATGTCGGGCAGAGGCACATCCAGCTCCCTGTGGAAAGAAGAGTGTGGTGTCAGTGTTCTTTCCACCTAGACACAACACAAAAGCTACTGAACCAGCCCTGGTATGAAGCCACATTCCTGACTGAATGCTTAAGTAACAATAAAAACAATCCAGAAGGCTGCAGCTCAGTATCTCTTATTGCTCACAAAGCTATTTCGGCAGAGGTTCTTGGTCCCAGACTCCACTTGAGACTTAGGAGAATCTACCATCAGCTGACTCTGGACTGTGTGTGTAGAGCAGTTCTGATATGTATCTTTAGTTAGGAACCAGAGCAAAAAGTTTTAGATATTCTGGTCATGCAAAGGCAACATTTCCCCCCAAAATAATTGAATCCTTAATATTATCTAAACCATCTTGCCTCAGAGTTGACCTTGGTACAATCTAAAGGATAAAGAGGGCCTTTCAGAAACTAAGTGGTTTGTTAGGTCAAAACTGATCATGCATTGCACTGTTCTAGCCAAAAGGATGAGCATAATATTCAGGTGCACATGCCAGGACTGGCAAACAAGCCAGGACTGGCAAACAAGCCAGGACTGGCCAGCCTGTTACCATCAGCCCCTCTGGCTTTCGGTCTATGTTCTGAGGAACACATGAACCCTGAGTTCACTGCCTTCATTCATCTGAAAAGTTTCCAGGGCTTGGATGGAGGAACATCTATCTACCTGGATAGCTCCTCCCTCCTCTTCCCACTGCCTGGGATGATTTCTCTGTAGAATTTGACAATAGTCCACTAGGATTTTTATTGTGACTGACATAATCATGACTATTCCTTGACAGGCCCAACTCCCTCTATGAGGCTAGTGTTCTCTGGCCTCAGCTTCCCAGAAGCCCATAGATCTACCTACACAGTGCCAAAGGAGGAACAACCATTTTGGGATGGGTGTTGTTTACACATTAAGCCTAAACAGGACCAATGACTGATTGAAAAGAAAGTGGAGTCCTTTCTTCTCTATCTACCTATTTACTATCCAGGTAGCCATCTTGGGTAGGGTGGAAACATGGGTCTCCTGAAACAACCAGCTGGATCTGGCCAGTCTATAAGCAGGCAATTTACATATATTATTTAACTCTGAGAACTATGGATAATGTATTACCTGGCAGGAGTTCCCTCAAATGCTTTATCAGCTGCTTCTCCCAGTATTTCAGCTTTTAGGTAGTACAGCATCCGCACTCTCAGAAGTACCCTATGAAACATAAACACATGAATACAATTCTGAAACCTAAGACTGAGAACACATTACCAAACTAAGATAGAAAAAATTAATAAGCATTTCTGAGTAGTATGAAGGGGTACACCAGAATACACAGAAGAACAAGACACCAGGATATCAATGCCAGACATTACTAGGATTACCCCTTTGCTATCCAAGAAAACAACCACTTTTCCAATTTCTTGCTAGACCATCCTATGAGCCATAAGTCAAGGCAGAGACAGTCAACAACCTTCCTTACCTCCAATCTTTTCATTTGGCCACAAGGACCACAGAAGTAGAGCTGATTTACCAAGTTTACTAGTTACAAAAGAGTGAAATCTGTTTGAATGGTGGTAATTTCAGGCAGTTTTACACATACACAGTGAGATAAATACTTAAAGGGCAAGTGTTTATTTTTCATGGCAGTTAAGTCTTTTCCTGAGGTCTTCATTCACTTTGATTCTGCAGAGGCTGCACTCAGGGTCCATGGCAATGTACCAGTTGTGTTTCAAACAAAGCAATTAAGTACATGTTAGTCAACTACCACTACCCTGTATCATGCTATAAGTTGTAAGGTATATAACAAGGTAAACAAGTCATTCATGCTCTACAGGCACCTAAAAGTCCACTGTGAAATGAGAACAATCACAAAGAGTCAGAAAGAGAAACTGACAGCTGAGGCCCAGGCTAATATGCACAAACACAGGATGGAAGTATGGGGAGGTGCAATGGAGAACACCACTGCTAAAGAAATGCTTCAGATTCAAGCTAAGCAGCAAAGAGGACTGCAGGAAAAACTTGCAGTTCACTCGTAATACCAGTCAAGAGTGAAGGTTAGCCACTGAGGGAAAAGCCTATACACAAAGGTAGTACTTATAATATAGAGGAACTGACTTCCAGACAACTTGTGTGACAAGAGGGATCACAAATATTGTGGACAATGTGCATCATTTTAAGGAAGAAAAAGCAGGTTATATATTTACATATGCTAGTATTACAGAGTGTCTCTGAAAAGGCAGGCTAACAGGCTGTCTCTGGGAAAGAAAATGGGGGGAGCTAGAAATGGGAGGAAAAACAGTTTTTGACAAAAAATTTTTATGTGCGTATGTGTGAGCTATTCAAAAGAATGCCACTTAAAGGCTTCAAAATAAAGTATAATTTCTGTTAGCTCTGAGTAGAAAATGGCACTGTGGCCCAGCTCAGAAGCAGACAGAGGATGCCTTGAGTGGTTCTTGAAAGCTGGGTTAGAAGCCTCTGGGTATAGAATATACTGCAGGAGTGAAGACTGCTGAAGGAAGTGGGGGGGGGGGCATGAAGAGAATGCAGACACAGTTTATATTCCAAATCTTCTCTCCTTTTTCCAGACCTTGCATGGAGTGTGAAAAGATCTCTCTGTGGTATCCCAGAAATCTGGGCTCCTTGAGCAGGGCTAACTTTGGGAAACAGGAGAGGCTAACTCACTTGTTGCAATGCTGTTTGAGGTGTTTCTTGTATCCATCATCATGTAAGACCACCTCAGGGTTGCAGGTGGCTAGCCAGTCTGCATTCTTCAGTTCTGGGAGCAAGAGCTGGTTTTTTGTCTTTTTTCCTTTCCTCCCTCTGGGGACTGGGGCAGACAACCCTGAAATGGAGAGATAATGACATAGGATGAGCCAAAAGGGCTTTACCATGGGCATTGAATCTGGGCTGGGAGCAGAAAAAGCGTGATGGGCCCCTGGTGACAAACTCTTCCTCAAGGCCACAGAAAGTAAGGTGGTCAGGAAGATTTAATGAATGCCCTTTGAGACTCAGGGAGGAATAACCCAGCCTGCCCCTTTTGGGCTCTTGTGGTCTAGTAGGAAGAAGGAGGAGACTTGAAGGGGAGCTTTCGTTAAGGACAGAGAAGTACAACACAAGACAAGTCATGCCAGACGTGACAAGTACAGAATGGTGAAATGAAAAAGGTGAGCCACAGAACATGAGATGTGAGTTCCCAGTTCAGGGTGATACCTGATGGACTCAGGTAGGTGTAGGAAATGGCAAGAGCCCAATTGCCCTTCTAACAGAACAACACAGGCAACAATAACCCAAGAGGAGAACTCACAGCAGAGCTATTTCACCTCTTACCTGAGTGGTTCTGGAGAGTCTGAGCTTGTCCGTCTTTGGAAGGTGTGATTAGTTCCCAAATAAAACTCTTGATCTTTTCATCTCCTTTGTAATGCTTGACACAATATACCAATAGGGCCCGGCAAATCATTTCCATGTCCTTCTCATTCAGGTGCCACTTGAATCGCCCATGAGTCAGGATGTCCTTCCACCGGCCCCAGCTGATGGTAAGAATACAGAAGGTATTGGAGGAAGAGCCAGACACACCCTCCACACAGCATGAATTAAAGAGACAAGATGCTCCTCATCCTCTAACAGGTGTTGTCAGTTATTCCAAAAGCTTTGTCCTGAAAGGCCCGTGACTTTGACTGCATGCCCCACTTGTCTCTAAGGTGTCCTACACAATGGATCATATGGCTGCTATTGTTAAGCTGTGATGGTCCAAATCACTGGAGAATAAGTTTGGAAATGAAAAAGTGCAGCTGTAGTAACCACTGCATAACCATGCCTTAACTGCAACATTTGTTGTACTGATTCCTTATAATACATTCCTGGATGGGAGAGGAAATCAGTACCAGGCAGCAAACTAGTATCAGAGATTTGCTGTGACATGTATTTGAGAGCATCACAGTATGTCTACACTATAGCAACACAGCACAGTGATGAGGGGAATTCTGGTACAAAGCACGGCTTTCTTTCGCTCCTGTAGATCTCATTAGCTGGTACCCAGAGGGAGCTAGAAGTTCACTGGGACTTAAAAAAAAAAAAAAAAAGAAAGAAAGTGGGGAAATAACAGCAACCCCTTCCCACTAAGCAGAGCCAGTACCTACCCAAAGATGAGCAGGTTCTTCTCTACCCGGAAGCACTCAGCACGGAGGTAGCGCCTGGCTTTGTCATTGAGACGCCTGGATCTCGTGGGCCTTTCATCTGAGTCACTGTCTAACTCTGAGAACTCCATAAGCTCGTCCTCCTCAAACGAATTATAATGTTTGGTCTGCTTCCTCACGCGTGGCCGGTCAATCACTAGGCTTTCCTGGAAATGGAGACGACTGTGGGGAGGAGGTCCCTTTTCTCTTTACTCCTTACCAGAGTGCACAGCGGCACCCTGATGCCATTCCTCAGGGCACATCTGAGGCAGAACCAGCCTGTCAGCCCTGGCAGGGAAGGCTCTTTGCAGCACACCTGCTGTCTCTAAGACCACAGACAGGACACGCATAGGGGCTTCTCAGGGACTTCAAGCTGTTGGTCCCCAGTGCTGTCCACCACCATCTGTCGTGTCTGCCATCATTCTAGCAAGCAAAGCCCCCAAGTGCCCAAAGCAGTAGTCTGCTATTTCCAAGAAAGACTGGAGTGGGGAGGCCCAGCTGTTCTGCCTGGCACGGAGAGAGCAGTCTAAGCTCTGGAGACAGGAGAGGTGAAAGGATTCCATCTGCTCAGCAGCTTCCTGAAGAAAACACATCCTGCTGCTTTCATTATCCACCTCCTTTAGTGGTATCTACTAACCTTTTGCTAAAAGACAAAATTCCTCGTTCAGGAATCTCATTTCAGTGGCTCCCCTGGCCATACTAATTGCTTCTTCTCTAGTCCCACTATTTTCTGTTTCTTACCCCTTCTTCCTACACTTCTTCCCAAGGCAGATGAAATCCCAACATTTCTCCATGCAGCACAGACAGTGAATTTCGAGCAGCACCCTGCCTCAATGATCTTGCTTCCTACTATGGAATGCTCCCATTGCTTTTGCTGCCCACAGGGTAGGAGTTTCTCCTCCCTACCACTGTCCTGCCCACACCACTGCACTTCAGTCAGGTAACTATAGGAGCTTAGCATCTTCTTAAAGGAGGAGAAACCACTTTTCTAGTTGAAGAAAAGAAGCCAGGATAAGCAATCACCAACAGTTAAAATAACTACAAAAGAATAGTTATGTAGATTCTCATTGACTTAGCTAAATTATAAGAAACTGTCTTAGATTTGTGGGCCACAGATGTCAACCTACACTTGAAGAAGACAGGAAGAAAAGCTATGTACTCATTGTGAAGTGAGCCAACGGAGTCAGGGACAGAGGAAGAGAAGCTAGCATTTTATGGGTATCTCCCAGCTGGCCAGTCACAAAATGACTACAACTCTGTCACTGGGGGCATCAACATTTCCTTTCCCACTTGTCTGGGGAAGGTCAAATGTGTTGCAGAAAGGCACAGTCTAGTTTTATTCTGGCGCCAATGGTCTCTCTCACGTACAAAATGGAAAAATCTGAGACACTGGAAAAAAAAAGGAGGTAAAGCCAGGAGGTATTCCCTTTCCTTCTTCCTTTTGATCACTAAGAGGAAAGGTTGCTTTTAGAGAGTATTGACCCTGGGATCGACTTATTTACAAGTTGCATCTCTAATTGCATTTATCTAACTTCTTGGGTGCCCAGCAGATTGTATTCCATTAGTCACTGTAAAGTTCTACCAGTTAACATTCATCAAGGGCTGTCTATGTGCCACCACTCTTTAAGTGTGTTACAACAGCATTTCCTTTAAGAATCAAGACTCAGGAGTAAATAGTGACCTGAGCGATGTAGGCATCGCCCCATGCAATCCCAGTTAACTGTTCAGTAGAACAGAATAAGCAGTACCTTTTCATTATTTGCTTCAGTGTCTAATTCAGCTATTTTAGCCCATTTCTGCCAAAAATTAGGATCATCCAAGGAAATATCTGTTCTGTTTCCTGAAGCCACAAAACTAGCCTGTGGAGGAGACAAAAGTTAACAAACTGGATTTGAACAGAATACAAACAAAACTGATTTCAAATATACCAGAAACACAAAAGCCATCCATATCAAAATTAAAAACCCTAACAGCACTTCCAAAATCTCAAAACAATTCATTTTTTTCCTCCTTTTAAAGACTGAGTAAGAAAATCAAAATTTCAATCTACAGGCTCATTTTCCTGAAACTTAAGAACTGCCAAGTAAGAAGACAGGACAACAGCAATGTAGCAATGTATTACCTGGTGTCTAGTTGTCTACAGAAGTATTTATTTGCTCATTTAGTTTTTTGATACAAAGTATAACCAAGTACACCCTAGACTGGCCTCAAACTTGCAATCCTCCTGCTTTATCAGCATATTGAAAGTTGGAACTACAGGTATGTACTTAAAACACACACATGCACACACTAATATATATATACACACACACATATATATACATATATTATATATTATATTATATGTAAAAATATATTCAATACAGGATCTTACTATTTAGTTCAGGCTAGCCTAGAACCTGTGATCTTTAGCCTTCCAAGTACTGGGATGACAGTCATGCACCATAATGCTTGACTAACAGGTTATCTTCTTTCTTTCTCCCCCCACTCCCTCCCTCCCTTTGAGACAGGACCTCATGTACCTCGGGCTGGCTTCGAACTCATTATATACCTAAGGATGACCTTGAACTTCTTACCCTCCTGCTTCTATCTCCCCCACCCCCAGTGCTGGACTGCAGATCTACCATGCTCAGTTTTATGTGATGTCAGAAATTGAACCCAGGGCTTCATGCATGCCAAGCAAGTACTCTACCAACTGAGTTACATTTCCATCCACTAGGTCTGAAAGGGTTTATTTTCAGATTTTTTTTCTTAACCTTCAGTTTTATAGTAGGTGTCCACTTTAAAAATGGCACTGGTGTGTGTGTGTTGGTTTGGCGGGGGAGGGGGGGATAAGGCATAGTAGTGCACACCTTTAATCCCAGCACTTAGGAGGCAGAGTTCAAGGTCAGCTTAGCATACATAGCAAGTTCCAGACCAGCAAGGGCTATATAGACACTATGTCTCAAAAACCTGAACACAAAACAGCAACAAAAACCCAAAGGAGGCACTGAGGCTGGGCAGAGGCTCAGTGGGTCAAGTGGTTGCTCTCTAAGTGTGGAGCCTGGAATCTGCACCTGCATGTAAAAGTTGGGCAGGTGTGGCAGCCACCTATTATCCCAGTACTTGGGAGGCAAAGACAGGGCAAGACAACAGGATTAATTATCTGGAATCATCAAGTTCCAAGTTTAGGGAGAGATACAACCTCAATATAAATAAAGTAGAGAATGATCAAGGTAGACATCCATTACCAACTTTTGGTACACACACACACACACACACACACACACACACACACACACACACACACACACACACACACACACACACTTTATGCCCTGCCCCATCTACAACCCTCCCTTTCCATTCCTCCTCCATCTCCATTCAGAAAGGGGCAGGCCTCCCATGGGCTTGAGCAAAGCATGGCATATCACGTTGAGGCAGGACCAAGCTCCTCCCCTTGTGTCAAGGCTGGGCTAGGTAATCCAGCATGGGGGCCAGGTTCCCAAAGTCAGCTAAGTACCAGGGACAGGTGCTGATCTCACTGCTAGGAGCCTTACAAAGAGACCAAGCCACACAACTGTAACACACATGCAGAGGGCCTAGGTCAGTCCCATGGAGGCTCCCTAACTGTTGGTCCAGAGTCCATGAGCTCCAATGAGCTCAGGTCAGCTGTTTCTGTGGGTTCCCCCTGACATGACCCTCCTGTCTCAGACAATCTCTCCTCCCTTTCTTCAGCAAGACTCCTGGAGCTCAGCCCAGTTTGGCTACACACACACACTTTGAACATGCATGCACCACACACATTAAAAGAATGGTACTGGGTTGATATGAGGGGCTGAATGAAATGCAGATTACCTATACTTCCCGTACTGTGCACAAAATGTTCTCCTGAACAAGTCTTGACCTGACATTGGAGACTGATCACAATAGGCCATAAGGCTCCCATAGGAATTAGCAAAACCTGCAGCCAGAGCAACCTAAGAGTAATCTGCAGAGTTCTAAACCCAGTGACCTGAACAACAGAGGAAGGTGGTCCTGAGGTGAGAAGCTGGGAATCTTAAAACAACAACAACAACAACAACCATTCCTGTGAAGTGAAAATACCTGCTCGAATTTGAGGAATGGAAATGCTTAAAAAAAAAAAAAAAAAACCTTTACAAAAACATCAATATTTTTTGGGTTTTGGATCAGATCTTGTAAAGAGCAGACACAACAAAGTACAGACTGGGGTCTCCATGCCTGTGACCACCTGCTCCTCTTTCTGACAGTCTGTGACTCTCTCTAAGTGTCTACATTGTCAAGAGATTGCATTTGGAGGAACAGCAGCCTCATTGATGAGCTAAAAGAATACACAGCAATCCCTTCCCTTCCACCGAAATGACTATGGGGAAGAGGTCATGTACCTTGGCGAAAGTGGACCCTTTCCCTTCCGACTGGATGGTGATGGTGTGGGTTCTTCTTTGCAGAATCTGGTCTATGTCTTCTTCACAGAACTTAGAGCCTTCATCTTCCTCATCCATTAAAGCCCCATAAGCACCTTTCCGGAGCAAGTCCTCCACTTCCATTTTTGAGAGCTGCTGCACCTGAACAGGTCACCAAAGTGGAAAATACACAGGAGAAAAACAGCCTCAAATGTGGCTCGCATGATTCAGGATACAGCTCCTCTACTAACTGCACACATCAAAAAGACAAACCAGAAATGACAACTCAGAGGAAGGTGCCCTGGCTACTTTGCAGGGGAGTCAGGCAGGCAACTGTCTACAGGGAGCTCTGCAGTAAAGCCTAACCCACAACCCGAAGGCCTAACATTCTTCAGGACACTGGTTATCATCAAATGTCATAAGCCATTAAAGCTATGCACCATTGAAGAGGATATACTTGACATCTTATTTTAATATTTTAGTTTGAACTTATATCTTTAAAGCCTCCAGATGTACCACATAAGCTGAGAAAAAAATGATTTATTCATTATTAAATAAATACATTTGTATTGGAAATGATGTCATCCCTTAACTAAAAAAAAAAAAAAAAGGATCCTGCGCCAAGTGTGATCTTTCAACCACTTGTTGAAAACAGGAAATGGAGTTCAAAACACCCTTTCCTGGTTCTAATTAACAATCTGGTTCTCTTTATTTCAATCACAAGAGGGAATTCCACAGCTCTCAGGAAGGGCAATTTGGAGTATGATGGTTAGTAACACACGCATAGCTAAGGATATAGAACATCTGGACTAAGGTTGTCACTCCATTTCTGATGCTCTAAGCCAGAGATGAAGGAGATATGCTGCTTTGTACTTACGAATTTAAGAATCTTAGCAGTAATTCTTAACTCTCTCCAATCCGAACTCAAAATCATGTTGCCACTGTTTTTTTTTTGAGACTGGGTCTTAATGTACCCAGGCTGGCCTTGAAAATTCCATGAGTAGCAGAGGCTGGCCCTGATCTCCTGATCCTCTTGCCACCACTTCCCAAGTGCTGTGATTATAAGCACGTGCTACTATGCCCAACTAGAAAAAAAGACTGTCATTCTCCAAGCTAATTTGTTCATTTGTTATTTACTGAGTATCACACACTGAACACTTTTGAAAAAGATATTGTGCACTGTTTGGGGTCATGGGAACACAGATAACACTGACTCCATTTCATCACCAAGAAGCTCAGTCAGGCTGGAGAGACGGCTCTGTAGTTAAGAGCACTTGCTGCTCTTCCAGAGGCTTGGCTCCCTGCACCCACATGGCAGCTCACAACTATCTGTAACTCCAGTTTTAGGAGATGGGACACCCTTCCCTGGACTCTGCAGCCACCAAGGTACATACATGTTATACATGCAGGCAAGTACTCATACACAGAAAATAAAAAATAAGTAAATTAAAAAAAAAAAAAGGGCAGCGCAAAGTTTGGGGTGTGATAAGGTAGGATAACAAATATGTAATTAAAATGTTGGGCCTTTGGCTCATATAAATACAGTAAAGAATCTTAAACCTACCAGTTCTGATGGATGTGGTTAAAATTTATTGCAATGTTATTCCATGTTGGACAGACCTACCACACAACTGCTCCCAGACTGCCTTTATCCATTCAGAAAATACAGGGACTGCCTGTATTTCCTGCTATAAGAGTTATCTAACTATGCTGTGGAGGACTGAATTAAAAATTGTGAAAAGGACCCAGAAACAGCTCTCAGAAGGAAAAAAAGAATCCTGACAAGTGCTCCTTTTTTGTTTGTTTTTGAGACAGTCATTGTTCAGGCCCTGACTGGTGTGGAACTCAGAGAGCCACCTGCCTGTTCTGGGACTAAAGGCACACGCTCCTCAATGCTCCAGGACAGGTACAATGTACTCACTCCATTGGTGCTGCCCTTTCTGTTGATGTCCTGAAGAATAGCCTTGTCCAGGCCTAGTTTCAGGCTGGCCTTGTCAAACATTTCTCGCTCATAGGAGTTTCGAGTGATTAGGCGATATACCTTCACAGCTTTGCTCTGGCCTATTCGATGACACCGGGCCTGAGCCTGGGAAGAAGAGTCATATACATTTTGTCACCATGTATACTCACATTTGCATACAAACACAATGACATGAGCCCATGTGTGGAGTTACTCATTTCTTTACCAGCTGACTACCATGTGAAGATCCAAAGCAAAGGGAAGGACACAGCTGTCCTCCCCCCAGCTTGTAGACGGGATGCAGGTGAAACTCACTCTCAGGAGATGCTACCTCTGGGAAATGCTTCAGAGGCAGCAGCACTTCCTCTATTTTAAATTTCACTACAAAAAATTTCAAACAGACAAAACCACAGTGGACCTTTGTGGACAATCTTGCTTCTTTTCTACCACACACCTACTTTACATAATGGGCAGCAAATCTTAAGCAGAGTGCCCCTCAATTTTATGTATTTTAATATGGAATTCAAAAGGTAAAACATATCACTTCACCACTGCTATACTAAAAAAAAAAAAAACAATTCTGCCCCCCCCTCCCCCGCAGCACTGGAGATTGAACAAAGGGCCAATACATGGCAGGCAGTGTTCTATCTCTAAGCTCTATGTCTCCAAAAACAAAATAATTCCTACTATCAACCAGCCTTCTGGCCTTCCCACTCAGCTGTGAATGCAATGTGTTAGTCCTCTGTTTTCCCATCTTGCTTACTCCATTTGTGCTGTGTCTCAGTGGGTGTTTTTGCCCCTGTATTTCCTCTAAACTGGAGTTCTACCTTGTGATCTGATTAGGTTGTGATCTGATTAGGTTAAGATCTGATTTTTGGCCAGGTATCTCACAGATGGAATTTCAAATTCTGTCAAGAGGCACAGGTTTATCTGCCTGCCTCATATGGACTTGAAGACAGATGTGTACATCCATTTCTTTATTGGGGTTACAGTCACCTTCATTAATATTTTGGTTACCCTAATATACTATTATTAAAGAAAAGTTAATCATTTGATTTTTTTCTCTTCATTTAATCAATTTCCAAAACAACATCCTCTAAAGTGACTAATGAGGTTTTTATTATCAGCTCTTTAAGGAACACAATGAAGCCATACGCTTCAATACGGTTGTTAGGCTTCACTGCACTGTAGCCATACAGCCCACAAGGGCCTCTGCAGATTGATGGCTGGGCTTTTTCAACATGGTCCAGTAGACTATGGAGATAAGACTCTACAGACTGACTCTGTGGTCTTAGAATGGAGGTGCATATTTGTACACCTATGTTAAAAAAACACAAATAGCTGCGTATTTATGCCTACACATTGTACGAAAGACCAGTGTCTTTAACAGTCCCCTTGCTTTTAACATGTTCCAGTCTTTTTAGTATTTCCTGTATAAAATTAGATTCACCTATTCTTTGAAAAGGAATCCTGTTTTTTTTTTTCCTTCAACAAGGTTTGCCCACTCCTGCAATCAAACAGAGAAGGGTGTCATTGACAGTGACCAGGAGGGATGGTCATGTCACATGTAGGAAGCTAGCAGGCACCCCTGCAGACCCGAGCACTTTTTTTGCTTTGACAGAGGTGAACTTGAGCAGTGAGGATGTGCCCTGGCTCTCAAATGAGTGAAGACAGTGGCAGAAGAACACAGCAGCCTCAGAGTCCTGCTTCTGTCTCATGGTCTTACTGTGACCCCAGCATCTGAAACAGAACAGCCACAGTAGGACCGATGGCTCAAATGCCAGGCTGTTAAAGAAGGCTGTCTGGGGGAGAGGAAAAAGAGTCGAGTCTAAGTAGAGATTCTTGTTGTTTTGTTTTGTTTTTGTTTTTTGAGACAGGGTCTCACTACAGAGCCCTGGTTGTCCTAGAACTCACTCTGTAGACCAGGCTGGCCTCCAACTCCGATATCTGCCTGTCTCTGCCTCCCAAGTGCTGGGATTAAAGGTGTGTGACACAACCATCTGGCTAAGTAGAGATTCTTAAGTCTGCCTATCAGGGAATCACCCTGGTTAGAATCAGAACTTTCCCCTAATTCTATGGCTGAAAACGACACCAGAATCCTTTAGCAGTGTTCAAGTGGCATGACAGCAGAAGCCCACCAAACACAAAGACCAGTTTCACACTGTGATGGCTAATATTGGTTGTCAATTTGATTACATCTAGAATTAACTAAAACTCAAGCTGCTAGGCATGCTTATAAAATGTTCTCTTAATTGGATCATTTGAGGTGGAAGACACCCTAAAACTGAGAGAGCTTTTGCTCACCCCTGCTGGCAAGTTAACTTCCCATGTTACTTAATACTGACTTGATTAATTCAGTTCCTTTAGAGAACACTGACTAACACGCATGTCTGTTTATCTATTACAGTCCAGAAAAATACTATTACAACACACAGACAGCACTAACTATTGAAAAAGCGTGTAAGTATTTTTAATGGGAATTTTTTTCCAGTGGTGTGTGTGTGTGTGTGTGTGTGTGTGTGTGTGTGTGTGTGTGTGTGTGTGTGTGTGTGTGTGTGTGTGTGTGAGACAGACAGACAGACAGACAGACAGACACAGAGAGAGACAGAGACAGAGAGAGAGAGAGAGAGAGAGAGAGAGAGAGAGAGAGAGAGAGAAAGAAATCCAAAACACACTATGCTCCATGTAAGGAAAATAACACTTGAGCTGGGTAGTCACACAAGGCTGTAATTTCAACTATTGCAAGTTCAAGGCCAACCAAGACAACTTAGTAAGATCCTGACTTCAAATAAGAATTAAAAAGAGCTAGTGATGGATTTAGCAATAAAATGAATGCATAGCATTCATAAGGATAATTTCATAGCACACACACACACACACCTTGTAAGAGACTTCTACTGCAATTGTAACATCATCTGAACATCAAAATGAAGATACTAATGAATTACAACTCACTGAATTAAAGAGGCCATGAGTGCATACTGACAATAAATCAAGAAAAAAAGGAAAAGCCTCTAGAGCATTAGGAGACTGATAGTTACAGAAGAGCAGGAAAGAAATGAAATATCATTTCAATATGGACTAGATGATTAAAGAGTAATGCTCTTATTTTCTGATTCTGAAAATTACACTATGGTTATAAAAGAGAAGGCCCTTGTACATATGGAATAGAGACTCAAAGTGTTAAGAAAGTAAAAGGGTCTACGCCCCTAACTATTATCAATTGAAATGTGTGTCTCAGAGAAAACTGAAAAACAGGCAAAAATGATAAAGTAAATGGGACAATCAGAACTGAAAATAAAAAGTATATAAAATAAAAAATGAATAAACATATATACAAAGAATTTCTTGCTAGGGACTATGCTATTCACCTAATACAGAGAGACCCAATTGCTCACTTTGTTTTTGAATTATATGAGTTTACTTTCCAGGGGCTGTGGCACTACATATATGTGAGCCCAGCTCTTAGGAGGCAAAGACTGGAGGATTATGAATTCAAAGCCAATCCTTGCTCCATAGAGAATCTGAAGTCAGACTGTGGTATAGGAGACTTTGTCCAACCAACTAACCAACCTGATGGGGAGGATAGAACTAAACTAAGAAACTCTGGAAAACAAAATTTTTGTTTATATACTATAACATTACAAATGAAATAACCTACTCTATATTAATAAATTTTTTGAGCAAACTTTTTTTTTAATAAAATGTTGGTCAGTAATCCTGATACTATTTGAATTTTATGCTAGACATGAGTGAATAAATATGCTGCTGTGATGTGACCAACGTATCTGTTTGCCAGATAAAGAAGATAAGGCCACAAAGAGCCTCACAATGGGCTGGAATCAGAAACCTCATTATGGATGGATATATATAGCATAAATAGTGTGTGTGTGGCATAAGTGCTTGTGTTTATGTATGTACCTACTTCCTAGTTCTGTCTGCCCAGAGGGTCTAACACTGGCTGTATCGAATAGCCAGATCTAGCTTTCTGTTGTGATTTATTCACGCATTTGAGACTGGTCTCATGTAATCCAGGCCTGTGTCAAACCTCCTATGCAGTTCAAGCCCTGAACTCCCCATTTTCTCTCTCCAACTCCCAAGTGCCAAGATTATAGGTACACGGCATTATGTTTGACTTCAGATCTTGATCACTAAGCACTTTCCTCAAATAAAAAGAAAAGGGATCTGTGGAGAAATAGCCAATTCCAAGACCCTGTCAGGAAAAATGTTAACATGAATCTGAATATCTTGTCCAAAAAAGAAAAAAATGCTCAGATGATATGAGTGGGATAAAACAGCATGAGACAAACATGAGAATAGTGTAGTATAAAATAAAATAAAATAGACAAGTGTATTAACACATGCCTGTAGCCCTAGCTACTTAGGAGGCTGAAACAAGATTCTCTGAGCCTAGGAGCTGTAGGTCAGCTTGGCCAACGCAGCAAGACCCCAACATAAAACAAAACAAACCATCACCAACAAAATAAAAAACATAAATATCCATAAATCCCTAACTAAATAAATGGGACAAAAGTAACTATTATTCCCACTCAAAAAAATACAGAAGAAATGATGGGTACAAAAATTATCATTAGTCAAAAATTATGGTAATACTGACTGAGGGCAAGTCTGTTGATGGATGTTAACATCAATGGGGAAAGTATGAGAATCAGTATATTTGTAAGACTCCAAAATATCTACTGATGAGATAACCAACTAATCTAAATAAGTAAAAATTATTTTATAATTGAGAGGCTTGGGAGACAGCATCTGAACCAAGTCAAAATCACAACACAAGCAAAGGAACATATGACATTATGTGCTCCAACAGGATGCAGTGATAAGAACACTATCATGTCTACAATATTCTTGCCTGAAATGCATAATCTTACATCTAAGGAAAAAAATGGGCAAATACAAACCAACAAACCAAGAGAAAAACTCTAAAAGCTTGTCAGTACCTTTTTTTTTGTTTTGTTTTTTGAGACAGGGTTTCTCTGTGTAGCTTTGCGCCTTTCCTGGAACTCACTTGGTAGCTCAGGCTGGCCTTGAACTCACAGAGATCCGCCTGCCTCTGCCTCCCAAGTGCTGGGATTAAAGGCGTGCGCCACCACCGTCAGTACCTTTTAAAATGTCATGTTCATGGAAGTAAGGAAAGACAAAGGCGCTGTCATACACTGGAGGATGCTGAGGGGGCACGGCTTCTGACGGAATGTGATTCTCTTTCATGGGAAACTGAAGGGACACAAACAGCCTGTGGATTCATTAGTAATACTGTATCTGTGTTAATCTCTTGGTTCTAATAATTCATTATACTATGGTTATGTAAGATGTTAACATCACAGGAGGTTAGGTGAAGAGTAAACTGAAACTCAGCATTTTGAGACTTTTAAAAAGCTAAAAAATCAATCTGTACAATAATGATATAAAATATTTAAAGTGGTTCTAAAGTTATAAATTTAAGTCATGTTTGGGAAAACTGGCTTCTGACACATACACTGTTTCCTAGCTCCCTCTATAGGAATCCATTTAAAAAACTACACCGACTTGTGTTTTAGCTTTACCTTTCTTTGGTCAGGGAGAGGGAGAGACAGACAGAACTAACCCATTAAAAATAAATGCTAGCATTTAAGACCAGCCTAATCTACATACTGAGGTCCAGGTCAGGCAAAGTAAACACAGTGAGATCCTGTTGTACTCCCCCAATAAATAAATAAATGCTAACATATACACATATATTTTCTCTTTTTTTTTATTCAACAATATATTGAGATAGATTCCATGGCAGTCTATACAGATATTCCCCTATTCTTTGTTCAAAGTTAAGTATACTACAATTTATTCACTTTTCTAATGATAGATAACTGAATTAGTTGATTTTTGCTGTTCCATCCTTCAGTATATTTAGTGATAGCAAATCTTTGTTTTGCTAGACTGGGAGATTCGGTGGATAACTCTGGCAGATAAAAACAATGATCAATGGGCTGGCAAGATGGCTCAGTGGGCAAAGGCACCTGGCACCATGCCTGATGACTTTCAGGGTCCCACAGGAGAGAACCAACTCCCACAAGTGTCCTCTGACCTCCACTGTGGTGCACATCCCTGCTGTGGTGCACATCCCTGCTGTGGTGCACATCCCTCACCCCAATAAATAAATAAATAGAATGGAAGTTAATTTAAAAAATAAAGTGATTAAGGTAAATAATATGGCTTTTAGGACACAAAGGTTCTCAACCCTCATAATGCTGTGACCCTTTAATACAGTTCTCATGTTGTAGAGACCAACCATGAAATTATTTTCAATGCTATTTCCTAACTGTAATTTTGTTACTGTTATGAATCGTAATGTAAATATCTGTGTTTTCTGATAGTCTTAGATGATCTGTGACCCACAGCTTGAGAACTCCTGATCTAGAAGGTAAGTAACACCGCCTTCTAGTGGTAATTAAACACTGACGCTATTTTTTTTCTGGCTATATGGGTTTGAAGGTAACTACAAAAGAAAATTGAGTAAGTATTCTAGACAAAGGTCTGCAAGAGGAATGTAACAGACATACTACGTACTTTTGTAGCACACACATTCCCTTTCTTATTCATGCCTAGAATCCAACTTTTATACAGGGCAGAAATGTACTCAACTAAAGGCACACGCTCATTCTCAGCAGTGGTGAGGCTGTCCAACCCAACCAGGATATGGAACAGTCTAGAGTCATCTACAGGAGTTTTGCGAGCCTATGCAAACACACTACACTTGACTGCCTTCTTTTTCCTGCCTCAGGTTGAGACCAAGATAATATTAATCATAAACATAGAGGTTTGTAGGACAAAAAGAAAGAAGGAACATGGGTGTCTGACCACAATGAAGATTGTTCCAGACTCCTCATTCTGGGCTTCTTGTTAACCAAGAAAAACAAGCAGCTAAATGAATCAGCAGACAAACAATGCTCTCTCTCCCAAGACAATTTACCTGAAATGACAGCAGGGTAAGTAGCTCTTGTCACATTTAAGGGACTTGTCATTCATAGGCATACACACAGGTAAACACCATAATAAAGTAAAAACAAATCTGAGAGACAGACAGACAGACTGGTCATGATATGATCAAATCTTAAAGTATTTTCCTAATCAGAACTCACAAGTACAAAAGAAAGGTAGAGAAACACTCAGAGCAGGACAGGAACAGAAGTAAGGCCCAATGAGATGTATCAGCAAGGGTACAGAGTGGGAGCCTTAGGAGACACAGTTGGGCAGGGATGCTAAAATCTTTCACACCTGGGGGAAAATCACAGAGCTCTCATGCTCTGCATGATTTGTAGACTCACAATTTGTTCTTTTTGATCCATCTGAAGTGGACAAAGGCCAGATGAAATGTTTTCGGAAAATAAAACAGCCACAGGTCACAGTGCTTTCAATGCAAACAACAGGGTACAGCTGCTACCTAGCAGTGACCGGTTATAAACTCATTCTGCCCTCAGTTTACTACTGGCAATCTCAAGTACAGAGGTCAGCGAAAACTTACACTATGCCTTTTACAACTGTGTAAAAATGAAATGGATGGTACAGAAACAAAACAACAAACAAAAACCAGTCAGGTATGGTAGCTCACACCTACAATCCCAGTACTCAGCTGAGGCAGGAGGATTGAGTTTGAGTAAGATCCTGTCTCAGAACGGCTTAAAAATCCCCAATAAAAACCCAGACACAAAGATGTTTTTTCCTTTTGCCCCCCACCCGAGTCAGCAGTTCTATTACATTTTAAAAGCACATTTTCCTTAACACTTTAAATTATACTTGTTTCTTAATGAAAACCTACACAACCACAGGTTAAAAAACAACTCACAGTCTTAGTTCACAACTCACAAACTTATAACTAATTCAACCACAGCACACTGTTGAATTTCCAGACCCATTTTCCAACCTGGGTATTACATTGAGGCACTGTCATTTTCTCCTAAGTCTTTGGGAGTCTGTATCCACAGCTTGCTTACTTGTGAGAAGAAGCAATGAGGTCTATCTACACATTAGGGACAGGGAAGACTAGGAAGCTGCTCTTCCTTTATCTTTGCAGGTCTCTGTTGAATCTGCATTTCCTAGCTCAAGATTTATTCCTGGGGGTAAAAAGTCAGTGGATCTTCCCATTGCATTTTTTACATGACTTACTTCATCACTTTTGTTTTTCTGGGTCCTAGCAGTGTCTCCAGCTCAATAAACATGCCGGCTAAGTCAGTGGAGTGCCGGCCGAGAATAGGAAGGAGTAATACATTTTTACAATAGGAAGAGTACTTTTGGGGCAGCATAAAGCGAATGAAAAAGAGGAAAGGAAACCTGACAAACTTTATTTGGAACTATAGTATGGGAACTTCCTGTCCCACTGGTATCATGTATGCTCATTCCTACTCTACACAGTCATTCTGTTTGCTTTCTGTACCATGCTTCCTTAACATCTAGGCTCAAATAACACCATCTTAAAAGAATTCTTTTTAGACCATTCTACCTAAACCAGGGCGCCCAACTTACATCATATTTATCCCCTCATCCTAATTTTCTTTATAATACATGTTACCATATGTGATAATCTTATATTTCCTTATTTAACATTTCCCATCTCTCAGAATGAACCCTGTATGAGAAGGGCAACTAGTTTAGTTCGTTGGCATCTCTAGCTCTTCAGCTAATGTTTGGTATATGCTACAGTTCGACATCTATTCACTGACCATTTACATAACAGCATTGGGAGGAACCAGTCCCCCTCCTTCCCTGGAGTAGTGTGGAGGGCTCCAGAAGTTCTACTGATGGTGACAAAGGGGGCTATCTTCGAAGTATGGATTTCCTTTTCTTCCTCCAAACTCCCACAGACACACACCAGCTGCATTAGTCAATGCTGTGCCCCTAGCCAGAACATCTGCTTCTATGGTTTCTCAACTATGCCTTCAGGGAAATTAAGACATGGGAAGGTCCTTGAACTGTGCTGTCCACCACTGCTAACCTGAACTCTCTTCAAACTGGGGAAGGTTGTTGAGGAGCAGCAACAAGGAAGGTGATTGTAGTATCTGTGAAGAGTGTGATACCGTACTGTTACTCCTAAGAGGTTCTTCTCCACCTCTGCTGAGACTTGCTTCCAAAGAAGAAACCAAGTTTTCATTTCTCTGCTTCCTTCTTATGCTGTTGTTCCCATTGGCATTTCTTAAGCTTTTGTGTTACAGGGAACCTAGACAACGCTTGCTGCTGCTGTTGCTGAAGTACTGGAGGCCGGTGCCTGTCTCTGAACACAGAATTAGTCTCTGCCACTAGCAGGCTTACCAGGGCACCTTCCACTCTACTGATGGCTGCCAACTGACTTGAGTGGGCAAGTTTAGCCAAGACATGCGGATGTGCACATGCAGGAGTTACTGAGCCTAATTCTGACTATATGTCTAGCTAGTATCTAAGTGCCTTCAAACTTTTTGGAACTAATGTTTTGATCCTCTATTGTTCACTTATATCTATTTTTGAACTGATTCCAATCAGGGAATGGGAGCAGGATATGATTTACTGGGCAAATCAGACCAACCTGATAAAGGAAATAACAGATGATATTCAATAACAATGTCTTATGAAAATCTAAATGAAAAACTATCCCTAGCCAGGCACAGTGGCACAGGACTTAAAAGGCAGAGCAGGAAGATCTGAGTTCCATGCCAGCCTAGGCTATGTAGTGAGACTTGCCTCACAAACCAAAACCAAAACTAAAAACCACACCAACCAAATCACCTCTCCCTTTCTGGAAAACAATCAGAGGGCGGCAGAATGGACTCACAGTAACAATGAAAAGCATAAAAGGAAACAGGACTATTTTCTGATGCTCAACTGATTTTCTAGAGAGTGGAGCTCTGTTCTCTAATCACAGAAGCTAATGTGTCCAGAGACTTGCCTTGAAAATATGCTTAGTACTAGAGAAAATTATGAGAAATGGGTCCTAGCAGGAGAGGATTACATTGGGGAGGAGATGTCCTTGAAGGGGATATTGGGACCAGCTATTGATTCTCTGCTTCCTAGCTACTATGAGTTGAACAGGCTGCTCCACCAGGAGCCTGACACCATGATGTGTTGTCCTCCTGCAGGCCTGAAGACAACAGGGCTAACTGACCATGGGCTATAACCTTTGGAACTGAGTCTAAATAAATTCTTTATGATGACCATCTTGTATTTATTTCATTAGCGAAACTCCCTAGTTCAGACTCAGGTGTACTTTGGCAGAGTTCAGTCTTCCTATAATCATGCTTGCTTTCAAGGCCCTACAGGGATCAGTTAAGAAATTGATTATCCCTTCAATGACAGTTTCCTGGTGTGTCCTGACTAGAAACAACTATGGATTAGTCCAGATAGTGCCATATTGATTGAGACCACAGTGAACCCACATTTCTTTCAAATGAACTGAGATCTCTGGAGCTCTGGTAAAATTTCACTATGATAGAGGTTAAAACACGGTTCAAAGTGGGTTCTCATTTCCATGGTTTGATATTTGTATCAGGCAGTATAGATGGTATACCTCAACCCATTCCTAGATAAATGCTTATGACTAAACCTATTTTCCAAAGGCAATAACCTCGAAGAATTGTTGATGATTTATTTATTAAAAATATTAGTGCATGTGTGTGTGTGTATGTATATATATATATATATACATATATATATT